GTATATGCATACATTATAAAGAATTTGTAAAACAATATAGTCACTAAAAGTATTTCAATGTTGCAAGACCTTACCGCCCCGGTACTTACTGACGTATCCATGTTAATATCACCACTTACTTTTGTTCAAACCAAAGCTCTTATGTCGACCTCTATACAAATGTGTGACTGAACTGAGCACTTTTACATGTTTACACCTATAATTATGAAACAATGCGTATATATATATCATTATCTTAGTAGTAGCTATACCGGTGTACGCCGTCACGGTTTCGTTACTATCGGTTATGTTCGCAAGTGCCAATACAATTTTGCCAATGGGGCCGATAGTTAGAGTTTAAGCAAACAAAGAGGCTTTATAATGAGATAGAGAATCTGTCGTAAAAATGTTTCATAATCGAATTAGTAGGTTGTTCTATATATAGCCCTAGACAGAGCAGCGATGGCTCTTTGTTACTACGCAAACAAAACTTACTCATCGTGGTTTGCAGTCTTTTCATCTGTTTATCTATCATACCCTTGTAGAAACTTACCAATGCTTACCAATATATTGGCGATTAACCACGTAGGTCTACGTAGGTTTATAAGGGGAATGTGAAAAATATCATATCAGTACAGATGACGCGTTAATTGATTGTAAAGCTCAGGAACGCGTTAGAGGACGCGCAATGATATCGGTGTGGGCGGCGGGGAGAAGTGCTCCCGCCCTTTACCTCAGGCGCCGGCTGTATTTGACATGCGCGTTTCTTTTTATAGACTTAGTGATGGAAGTTATTACTACTGTTAAATCACAATCATATGAAGAAGTGATTACTGTGGTCACTGCGATTTCACCTGTGATATATTACTACTGGGATTTGGTCATAGATAAAGATAAATGAAAAATATGTTTTTGCTTTTAATCAAAGATCACGGCTCTTTTTGAGATTTAGACTTTTCGAGAGTCTGGCAAGTCTGGCTGGTCAAGCGCAATCATAATCATAAGCCTCAGTAGTTTTGTAAATTAGTCACAGGTGTGATTGTATGATTTATAACAGGTGATTGTGATTTTATTTCATCCCTACTCTATTCTTCTCATTGTTTTATTATTAACTGTTAGGAAAATTAAACATATGTGGTAAAAGCGGAATCTTTATTGCATGAAATAATAACTGCGTAACACATTTGATACTTTTAATCCCTGATTGTGTAGTTATCAAGTATTATGACTAAGATAGGAAATACGTACCTGACGTCACTTTGCCGATCATCGTTTATCTAGCTTTCATAGTACAAGCTCTGCTTAGTTTGAAACTAGATGGCGTTGTGACAAATGTTCAAAAATATTATTATACTTTTTTGTTAGACCTTAGATTAATTATATAGGCTTACACAGCATTATCGACTATATATATCAGTTCCCGATACTAATAAGCCAGTCTCTTATTTTTGTTTACAATTTAGTTACCAAATAAATAGAGCCACAACGTCTGACGGTAGACGGTTACCGGCGCCTACGAATACTTTTACCACTTTCAGTACTGTCGCGTGTTTATCACTTTGTCTTGTGAATCCTATTTCCCCCATTTTCTTAGACATCTGGGCGTCGTACTTAATACTCGAAAGTAGGTAGTTCTCTGTACAACAATACTTACTCATTTGGGTGACTTCTAATTATGCCTCCAAAGTCTGTATAACGACGATTCTTTCGTATATCTTATCCAAATTTTTTGTGTACATTGACACATATTTTATACAAATGATATCGAAGCGTCAAATTGTTTCTCAGATAAGATATTGAGAATGAGTAATCGCTTTATTTACGGAGGCTTAACGTAGGAGAATTGAATTTATAGATGATACCTGATGAATGTTAGTAATTTGGATATACCTAATAGAACATTTATCTCATGGCCGATGATTTTGACTTTTCATTGTACACAGTTTAATTTTTTTTTTTTAAAGACAACTCCCGCATTAGGAATATACCCTGTGTCGCAGGGACTTTACAAACATACGTGAAAGGGACACTAAGAACACCCAGACTCAGAACAACAATTTGTGGATCACACAAAGTGTCGTCCCCTATGGGGATCGAACCCACAACACACAGCGTTGTAGCAAGTGGTGTGGCGACCTCTTAAACAACTGCGCCATCCGTGCAGTCAATTCAATGCCAAGTACCAATTAAATAGTTGAGTATCAAAAATACTTGGTAGGAAATACTCGTACTAACAGGTATTGGAATATCCCGGTATCTAGTTTAAAACAAATTCTGTAGTGTCGTAAAAAGTGCTGCAAGCTAGGTTCCTGGGAAAAAATTACGAAAAAAGAAAAGAAAAGAGGTCCTTTTCACCCGTGCAGGTAAAAAGCTATACTCGGACAACTCAGTGTGGCTAAGAAAGTATGTTTACGTTTACTTGTATTTTATTTTTAAACTAGTTAAGTTTTATTTAAAGAAAGAAGAAACTCAATTATGTGGTGGTATAACTATTTTTTGTGTGACTATAATCCCAAGTCCGTTTGGTGACGGATTAAAAGTACGAGTGTCACCATCCCTATTCATCCCGTGGGTGTCTTAAGAGTTCACTAAGGGTCAAAAGGGTCAGAAAGAAAACTTGAAACAGTTGAAACAAACCCGCCAAAAACCTTTCTAAGGAGATGCTCATATCCAGCAGTGGGCTACTAAAGGCTGATGATGATGATAATCGTAAGATGAGCTTTGTTATGAAAAATTGATTCATATTGGAGATCATGTTAGAATTTGGACTTAATTTTTTATATATTTATAAGTTGTGCTAGCTGCGCTTTTTTGCTCGCTAGTAAATATTTTTTAACACGCTTTTATTAGCTCGGTTTGTATCTATGTAACGTAATCTTCGATTGTGCTTTTGACCCACTTCAAAACGTCGAATTAAATTGAAAGTTCGCACACTTATCAAGGACCGATGATAATACAATAATCTGATAAATTTGGTCAGGATCTTCAGGATTAACGGCTTTTCAATACCTAATAATACGGTAGTGTCCTAGGCCTGTGCTTAAGCATATGTGATTTACTTGCTTATTACTTTTTTAGTCTTAATGAGAAAGTAATCATCATTAATGACTAAAAAAGCAAAAATAAATCATGGTTTAAAAAACTAAAAAATACGCTTTTGTAACTAGACGAATTAAAAGGTAGAAAAAAATTTTTCGTCGTTAATCGTAAAAAAGCGTGGGGTGCTTTTCAAGATATTTTATTATAATAACTTTAGTTTTACCAATTACTGTTTTAGTTCCTCTAGTTACAAAAGCGTGTCTTTTAGTTTTTTAAACCATAATTTATTTTTATCTTACTCTAAATACTTCTAAAATATAAGTAAGTTTAAGTTATGCCTTTTACCATCAGCTGCCATCAAATCAATCAGACAGGCAAAAATTAAAAAAAATAATGCTTTTTGTACAAATGATATGATGATACACAAATGATGAATACCAGAGATATGCTATGCTACGTTGCTATTAATGCGTTTGGTATCCACCAATCATATTCATTGGACTTTATAGCTTAGCACTTGTGGAAACTGGTTTAACTAACTATGTTTCGGCGGTCGGGGGTGGTGTAGCTATGTGCAGACAGAGGATCTGCAGTAAGCGATGCGGTATGACACAGGTCTCTCCTTGGAAAGGAGATTTTGGCCTACTATATCACGTTGGAAAGACGGGTTGGTATCGGGTTTGTCCGATATAATCTATACCACCCATACTAATATTATAAATACGAAAGTGTGTCTATCTGTTACCTCTTCACCTTTAAACCGCTAAACCGATTTAATTGACATATGGTATAGAGATAGTTTGAGTCCCGGGAAAGGACATAGGATAGTTTTAATCCCTGTAATCATCCTGTAAATTGTTAAAAAGGGAGATGGACGTTTGCATGTAAAATCAATAACCGCTAAACCGATTAAGATGAAATTTGATATAGAGATAGTTTGAGGAAGGACATGGCTACTTTTAATCGCGGAGCGGAGCGGTGTTAGTGTTGTCTATAAATTTACAAAATTAATATTGAGAACGGAATCGGGAGGACGATCTCGAGGATAAAGAACGTCGTCGACGAGGTCGCGGGCCGCCAGAGAGGAACCCTCCTCTGGTGGCAGATTGATTGCTGCGGTAGGATAGGATGACGGCCTGATCGCATTAAAAAGCACTCAGGCCACCACGCCACGATTGAAGGGGGAATTGTTTTCCCCTGGGATAGGGCCTGGTTAGGCATGGTGTCGATTCGGGGAGTACCTGAAATAACATGGTCCGGGTCCTCCTAGAGTATTGAATGGCAGCAGTATTACGCAGGCTGGCCGTGGTGGTGTTTTTTTTTGTGAAATCAGGACATAAATTGGCTTCTGAATCTCCGTAGAGGAGAAAGATTTTTTTATTTATTTAACTTCATGCACAAGTTGTACACAGGCGGACTTAATGCCCAAGGCATTCTCTGTCAGTCGACCTTCGGGTGATGTAGAAAAATGATGCTGCAGGTGCAAGAGAAAACAGATTTTCCACCTCGTCTCCACCAAAGAAAAGGCAGGATTCACAGAAATTATGTTTATATATGTATAAATAGTGTTATGTGGAAACGGAATTGAGAACAGACTAAGTTCAAATCAATACCTGAAACTAGTTTCAACTTAGTAAAACTTAAACGCAATCTATAATAAGATCGATACTTAAGTTTTGAATAGCGTTCAACCGATACTTGAGACGTCTTTTAAAATACGGGCCTAAGTAATTTGATTTCTCTTACAAATCTTACAATTTAAATTTACGCAAAGTTCCCCCTCAGATCTCGTCGAGGAGTATCATCACTCACAACATCATCATCTACCATTTAACAGTTTAACACTTAGCACTTATCAATCCATAAACATACCAAAAACCCACCGTCCATAAACAGCTCTGTGTACAGCACCCATTTTTATAATCGTATATCTGTTTAGACGCTTTTGTCACAAAAATAATTTATCTCTTTTATTTTCAGAAATGGAGTCGCACGTCCTAAATTATCACCACGCGCGCTTGCGTCCTATTGGATACAAGACTCTTCGTGTGAAGACTAATTCTCTGTCATCAGAGAGCAGCTGTAATCAAAATAGTCCTGAATATCCTCAGATCAGTGTATCAGGAAAACAACACTCTGGCAGCACTAGCGATTGGTACATTAGAAATCAAGCAATCGCATCTCAATCTTGCCAAGATACCAGTTCAGAAAATGACAGTACCGATGAAGAAGATGATATGGAAGAGTCAGAAGTGAACAAAGTACACAGTTTTGATACTGAAGATAACACGGATGACTCAGAAGTAAACAAAGTACACAGTTTCGATGTAGATGATAATATAGAAGAGAGAGAGAATATAGAGGTATGCGACGTTTATGTCGAAGATGAAGGCGATGAAGAAATCGAAACTCATCACAACGACATAATGGATAACATGTACCTCAATAGGTCTAACAGTATAGATGACCATTCTTTAGTGGAAGGACACGATTACGAGGTTATCGCTGTGTATACAGTTAACCCTAATTTAGCATTACTCGAGCCATCTTCAGAAGACGATGGAGAAGAATATGTTAATGAAAAAGATTCTTCAATAAATGATGATAACTGTACGAGTTATATATGCCAGGACGGAGAAGATATAAATTTAGAGCCCCCCATGATTTCAAATGTCGATGAATATTTTGTTAAAAATGACAACAGTGAGCAACATATACTGAATGTTGAAGAGCCAGTCGTCAGAAATGTTGATGAATATTTCTTAGATCTAGGCAACAACGTAACCGTACCAAATGTTGACGATTTTTTCATTAAACATAAATTACCTGAAGAACAGTTTGAGTTACCTAACTCTTCCAATAAAGTGGAACATTTTTTCGTCACTGATAGTGACAAACCTCAGGAAAATGATAAAGTTGTACCTGAACCACTTAGATTAGAAACTGAGACAAATGTTGCTGATATATCAATAAATGAGTCAGATCTGGCTGCTTTACCTAACATTGAAGATCTTAAAAGATATTTGATTGAGGATTTACCGTACACAAAAATTAGGCATATCCAAAAATCCTGTTCAGTCCCTCAATCACCAATGCAAAACATTTGCATGGACGTTGAGGACGCTAAAACTTGCCTGAGCTTTGAAGATCTTAACCTAGATCTTTCAGATCTAGCATTTGAAAATGAAAAATCGGGTAAAGCGAGCTGCAGTAACAAAACCGACGACGTGCCTAGAACTTTAACAGATGAAGATATTAATAGCTTCATTTGTAAGTATAACAATACAGACCATGCTATTGTTAAACAGGATGAAGATGACTTAAGCCCTCAGGACATGGAAATTGAGGCAACCATCAGTTCTGGGCCTCCAATGATAGACCCGCCTTCAAGCAGAATGACGTCTACACCTATACCGACTGTGTTAAATTTCTGCATAGAAAAAACTTCAAAAGAAGATGCGACTCCAGTAAAAGAGTCAAAAATTGAGTTTGATGATTTTGTGGACGTAGAGTCGTGCAGTGATGCTGCAATCCCTGTTTTAGAGGCGAACAATTTAAGTTCGTTGTTAGAACAGTTTGAAGCCACCGAAAAATTAAACACGAAGAAACGACCAGAGCCAGTCGAAGATAGTAAAATAAAGAGTTATAATAAAAATACTTTGACGAATGGAATGCGATTAAAAGATGCCGGTATGCAGTTAACTAAAAATAGAATGCGGCAAATACTGGTAAGTATTTTTAAAAGATCATTTTTCGTAGATTAAAGTTAAGGACATATTGTATAGCAGTACATTATTACAGATGCCGACGCCGATTAACTCCACCATCAGTCGGTCTGAAAGCCCCGTGCACTCTGACCATGACTACTGTTCGCCTAAAAAGCGGCACAGTTTACCTAATCTGAAAAAAGGACAAAGTTTATTAAAACCAGAAGTGTTATCTAGCAACAACAAAATATTAAACTCAAGACATAGATCGTGTAAGAGCAAAAAAGTTGTTTACCATCTCAGTAGTGACGAAGAAACTGAGGGAAAAAACTCTAAAAACAAAAAAGTTAGTAAGTGTAACGATATAGACTTTAAAAACAAGAATAGTGCAAAGCCGAGTGTTAAGCCCCCTGTACAGTCGAACTGTCGTAAAAAACTTTCACCTACCCATAGTGATAGTGTTAAGAGTAAAAATAAGACCAATAATTCTGTGATGCTCAAAAGTGCTTTTAAAGCTAGTGATAATTGTAGTCAAAATTCTAATTCTAGTATTAAGTTAACAATTAAAAATAAATCTGAAGTTATACTTAACTGTGATTATATAGACTCTCAGAAAGACAAAACTATAGAAGTGAATTGTAAAAATAGTAATAATTTGAATACTAACAATTTAGAGAAAAAAGACAAAAATATAAATGAATTAGGTAAAAATGAATGTAGAGTTGTAAATACTTCCAGTGCTGTGGAAGACGAACCACACTCAAAGAGTGAAAACTTTTACACAGGTTTGTTTAACAATAAAAAAGAATTGCAGATACCTAAACCATTAGAACCCAAAATTGAAAAGAGTCCTGTCGACCATGAACTCAACAAATGTATGGAAGTATCCATTAAAAAAGAGGAGCAACCGTTAAAAAAAAAGAAGCTCAATCTCCAAGAATATAAATTAAGGAGAGGTGTTTCTTCAAACACTAGCTCTGCCCAAGTAAGCCCCGAGGCGATATTTCCTGATATGCCCAGCCCTGGGCTAGACAAAGCTGTCAAGTGTCCTATAATAAGAACGACGCCTAACGGATTACTGAACACAGCCGAGAAGGTGAACAATGAAGAAAAGTTCTTTGATCCGATAAAAGAGGCTTCTAGAAAAATTTTAATGAATTCTAAAAAGCAAAAGGCTGAAGCTATTAGAAAGAGAGACGAAGACATAGTTATGAGTAAGATACCTAAAGTTGAAAACTTTCAATTGCAACCTCTAATTAGCGATGCAGAAATGTTGAAAATTGTAGGAATGACTAAGCCTGAAGAAATGAAGTTACCCATAGTCAAGGAGAAACCTCGGGTGCCAGCGAACTATGAAGAAATCATTTTAGTTAGTATTGGTATAAACACTAACAAGGATATGTTTCAGAAGCCTGTAACTGTGTATGGAAAGCCGAATACAATCTCTCCTATAGCAGATTCAAAATCAATAATAAATTTTAAGATAAAAAAATCGGATCATGTGTTAAAACAAAACGTATTTGATATTATGAAAAGAGAAAACAGAATTCCCATAGAGGAGAAGAAGCATGATGATTTAAAAATTAACAAGGAACGATATAGAGACATTACAGCGGCGCTCAAAAGCGTTAAAAAGCAAGTTGACACTAAAATATCTAGCAACTCGCTATTCGCTAGTATTCAAGATGTGGTTATGAAGAAAGCCCCTGACAATATTACCGAGACACACGATGACAGACATTTGAAGTCAAAATCTAATCTCATAGACAAATGTGACCTCAAGTGCGCAAAGACCAAAATAGTAAGAGAATATGACTCTCAAGCTGAACACGGAGAAGACAAGGTTATCCTGCATCTACGTAAGCACAGAAGTAAACCGAAAACTTCTAATGTTCTCGTGCAAACAGACCAAATACCAGAGTTTACAACACTGGCAGCTCATAGCCTAATCCAGGAATTACCGTTAACGAGAAAGCGTAATGACAGTGATATGTCTTTATCTAGCGACGGCAGTCCTTCACGTAGAAAAGAGATGGAACCACTACTCGTAATAAGATCACGGGAAAAGATAATCCAACCTAAAGAAGTACGCCCTGATAGGATTGAGAGAGAGACAAAAGAAAAACGGTCCCTATCGAAAGATCGATACGAATCGAAATATAGATGTAGATCAAGATCCACTTCTCGTAGTTGCAGAAGACGGTCACGCAGTCGGACTCAGTCGAGATCTCATGGTCGATACCGTAGATACCGGCGATCAGATTCACCTTACAAGAGGAAACGTAGGTCAAGATCACGATCATTTCATAAGCGAAGATCACCGTCTGTCAGACATGATCGGCCTAAAATTTCTAAATCTGGATCCAGAACTCCTCCTCGACCAGCTAGGCCTGAGGCTAGGTCTAAGACTCCTGTGAAGAAATTTAAACCAAATTCTTTCTCCAACTCTGCGGAAAAGAAACCTAAGTCGTTAACTCCGCCGCTGAGGAAGCCGACGGTTTCCGAAAGCTCCGTTTCGTCGTCAAGGTGAGCATTTCCCAACTGAATGTTTACTATGATCATTTTTCCTTGCTTAGTAGCTATCGTTTGGGGCCAGGTGTAGCTTAAGACTATCGGTTAAGCAAGCGTCTACACCAAGACGGATTATGAACGTCAAATTTTTGTTGATATAAGACAAGAAGAAATTAATTAAATCTAAGTTGGAATTGGATCCCACGCTATGCCAGTAAGACTATTTCTATTCTATTCCAAGTGTATTTCTTGTGTATATATATTTACGGTTAGGTAGTCAGAGGTGTATTATATACACATGAGACATTTTTCCAATTATAGTTTGGTCCCACTTACGTAATAGTAATTCCGGACACATTTGGTGTATAAAGTTGGGAAAATCGGATATATCTGAAAAGGGAAAGATTTTAAAAAGAGAAGGCTTAGAAAAAAGAGAAGGATTGAAACAAAGGGATACTTGCTTGTACTGATGGATTGGGAAGTTGTGGATAAGCTGTAGCTCGAACAAGTTTGCGTCATATAACTGTAACTCCAACTGGTTGTTGTCGGGAAGTCGTGAGTTGTTTCACATGAGTTGTGATGATGTGATAAATATAGGTATTATAAAGACAATGTCTGTAAACCTTTCCTTATAATTTGCTTATGATATGTCCTTAAAACGAAGAAGTCTACACAATATTCCTTAGCTGTATATTAAACTTTTTCCAACTTTCTTTTCAGCTCGTCTTCTTCGTGTTCGTCATCGTCTTCGTCCTCGTCGCCGTCATCGAGATCTTCGAGTGGTTCGAGTAAGTCGCGGCGCTCATGCAGCTCCTTCAAGCGAGATGACAGTTACAAAAATAATTATCGAGGATATAGTTCAGAGGATAGGTAAGAGAGATGATTTTTGTACACAACACATAAATACTTATTTATATTTATATTATTATTTTTAAATGACCCTGATTTGTATACTTAACTATTACTTGAATCAGTATTCAAGTAAAAGTAACGTATACTTAATTTCTTTTTCCGATCTTTTATTCTTAGAGAAACTTACAGACTAACATAAAAATGTTGCATCCGGGAGTTAAGCTTTTTAAAAATAAATGCTTGATGTTTATGTTTCCGGAATAACCAAGTGAACCAAAAATATAGCATTTATTATAGTTTTATTGCTTTTAAAATATTCGCCATGATGATCGATGCACTTTTGCACACGTTGGAACCAATTTTCGTAGCACTTTTTCCATTCTGATTGTGGTATCTCCAAAACGTGCATTTTGAACGCATCAACAGCCTCTTCACAGCTTGAAAAACGTTGACCACGTCATTTATTCTTTACGGTTGGGAATAAATAGAAGTCGCTGGTAGCCAAATCAGGGCTGTACGGCGGATGACTGCAAAAAGAAGGAAAACTTGAAACAAACCCTATACCAACCCGTCTGGCCAGCGTGGTATAGTAGGCCAAAACCTCCTTTCTAAGGAGAGGCCTATGTCCAGCAGTGGACTATTATAGGCTGTTGATGATGATGATGAATCGTCCAAATACTGAGTTGTTTCGGCCGATGTGTGGCAGCTAGCATTGTCATGATGAAAAAGTATTCTGCGTTGTCGGTTATTCTTTCTTATTTCTTCAAAGATTTCTGGCAAACAAATGGTTGTGTACCATTCAGAATTAACCTTATGATATGACAGCTTTTGACGCACCTTGATTGTACTTTTGTAAAAAAAATAATACACCAATCGACACGAGCCCGTTTCTTTGTCAATTCTCAAGTTGTGTTGTTTTTACAGATAAATGTTCGTGTAATATTTTATATATACTCGTCATACTTATTCCCAGAGACGCCTATCTCGTCTCGCGATATGTAACATGACAAGTTTGCATTATTAGTTCCCGCACAGATTCAATATTTTGAGGTACAACAACCGATTTAGGGTGACCTTTATATTCGTCCGTGAGCACAGACGACCTTTGATTAAACTCACTAAACCAGTGATACACAGTTGTTTTTGATTTTGCTTCGTCATAGTGATAAAAACATGCAATTTTCAAAATGACGGGGCAAAGGATAAACAAATGACAGCTACATGAAACAAATAGCACTCTTCAGCCAAAGAATTCATTTTTGAAAAGTTAAAATTACTTTTTTAATAGCAGCCCTCGTTAATACATATAAAACAGCCAAACTCCGAAATAAAAATTTGCAGATTATACAAACATTATGTCCGACTTGGGAATCGAACCCGAGACCTCAGCACAGCAGTCACATACGCTACCACTGCACCACCGAGGCAGTCATTAATTAGTTATTTCCAATTTTTAAACATACTGTTAACTCATGGATTAAATTAAGTCATATTGCTAACTACAAGCCTCTACTGCGTACTTACTCTGAATAGAACCGACGATTTTTTTAGACGAATCCATAAGAACTCATATTTACTCTTGTTTTTATAAAATAAAACTTAACAATTAATTACCATAACCTTCTTTGTAGAGAAAGCAACACCCCAGTAGAAGAGAGGCGGATAGTGTTTGTGGGAAGACTAGAAAAGAATATTACCAAGGCCCACCTAAGGAATTTGTTCTCGAAATTTGGCGCTGTCATGGAAGTGCGCCTTCACAGTAAAGAGGACGGGTAAGTGTATTTGTATTATATAAAAGTAAACTAAAACACATATCATGTGTAAACGTAGTCTGTATAATTGTAAACGTCGGAAATACCGCAAACTTTAACTTGTTCCACAGATTTACTCTCTTTACTCCAAAATGCAATCTCTATCTTTCTCAACTCTTCATCTGTATATATTGTAATTCCGAAATAAATCTTTAATTTGCTTCTCATGTAATGAGGACCTTGAATGACTTCCACTGCGTCAGCTCTTGGATCTAAGTTCAATCATGTCCAACGAGTAGAATTGTCACTTTGCTGTCTCTATTGTGTTACAAACTTAAAATTTCATGTCTCTAGTGCAAAAAAGACTTTCATACTTATATACTCTTTCGAAAGCTTTCAGATGCCCAAATCTGTTTCTGTCAGAAAATCTTTTCTGAGCTCATTTTTTCTACTTGTGTATCAGGGAGGTCGCTCCCTGATAAATTTTAGGCCTTTAATTAAAAAATTAACGACTTCATATTAATTCATTCATCCTTGGTTGATGTGTCCAAAAATTACCTTCCTACCAAATTTGACAGGGTCGTACTTTAGTTCAAGAAGTTTTCAATTCTGTTTACTTTATACTTGAACGAAGCCTATTTCACAAAATAATCTTTTACGAGTACAGAATTACATTGTAACTTAGTGCTTCACACAACCATGTTTGTGGCAAGTTGTCTAATTATTACCAAAATCCCGTAACCGTTATGCAATTAACTATAAACACCACCGCTGGGTAAATTGTATAAAAAATTGTACAACATATTTAAATTATTGGACGTACAAACTGGGATCGTCTCTTGCAGTAATTGCAATCGAAGTAAGAAGTAACAAATAGTTCCACAAAAAAAGTTCCATCTCTTGACTTCTTTTCCTTCATCATCAGGCCATCGTGACCAAGCCATTATCTGTTGCACTCTTTAAAATAAATCAGGGGGTTACTGATAGAGTCTGAGAAGAGCTCAACTGTCCACCTACTAACATAGATCCAACATCAGATCGGTTCCAAGATGCTGCCCAGTACTATTGTCATATCACGTTTCTTCTCTAAACTTCCATTTGGAGTAGGTCAAAATTTACTTCCAATATTTGTTTAATATGTAGATTGTTAGTTACAAGTGAAGCTAATAATTTTAGTATTAATGCGCTTAAAATGAGATTCTGTATTTTTATTTATTATCATTTTATAATATTGCAGTTCCCGGTACGGTTTTGTAACATACCAACGTGCCCGTGACGCGTGGTCAGCTGTAGAGGCAGCCAACACCTTCCCTCAATACGATGTAGGGTTTGGAGGACGCAGAGCCTTCTGTAGACAAAGCTATGCAGACCTGGGTAAGTCAAAATAATAATTTATTATCACCAGTGTTTGGGGTGTAAGGGGGGCTACCTACCATTTTAGGCCTCATAACGTCAACCTCACCTGCACGCCGTACACCCTGCCGAACAACAAACGAGGCTCTGGCGACCGAATGGTGGCAGCAGCGTCACCAGATAAATGATTGCCACTGCGGTCACCAACCCGTAAGCCAAGGTGGTGACTGGCGAATTCCCCCCACATGAATCGCAACTACATTCTACGGCCCCTGGTCCCGGTAGTCGCACTATTCCTTGCCACGGTGCAGCAGGGTGAGCGAAGAACCCCCGGGTTACGGTAGGATACGACCAACAACTGCATTTGACGACGTATAACGGACGCACTGTGCGGCTGGACCATCGCCTAGCATGAACTGGAAGCGGAGCTGAGCCTTATACATCGGCACATTTTGGGGCTGTCAGAAGTCCGAAGACACGGTGAGGATACGATAGCCCTAGACTTCGGCCACCTCTACTTCCAACAAGGAAACCAAGAATCCCACGGTGACATCGGATTTATGATCCATAAATGGCTCGGAAGCAGCTTGGAGGAAGTTGGCAGTGTGCCGTCAAGGGCAGCGTACCTTGTCTTAAAACTATCGAAAAGGTATTCCTTGAAGGTTGTACAAGTGTATGCTGTAACATTCCCACATCCTGACGATGTGGTCGAAGCCTTGTACATGACATAGCTGAGGATCGTGTCTCGTACTAACACTTCCTTCACGGTTTTCAAGGCCACTTCAATGCGAATGCCTGGTCGACTGCCGATATATCCAAGTGCTGAGATGACTATAAATATTAGGGGTTAAAGTATACGCACCAGGGACTTCCTTTCTAGGGTATACCTGGTTCCCCGGCAGGTGGTATCCGAGGGCATTCCGCTAATTCCTGGGTAGTTTGACGCGGATCGGCTTCCATCAACTCCTTCTATTTAGTGTTAATCACCTGTGTGCGAGGTCTTCCACGTGGTTCTTTCTTGAAGTCAAAGTTTCCATTACGAAAGTCTTCAAACCACAAACGCACGGTGCCTTCATTAGCAGTCTCCTATCCAAACGCAGTGTTGATATAGCAAAGCTGTGGGGGATCAGTGCAAGTAAAACCCAATAAACGATGATATCGAAACACATTTGATATGGATATTTTATTTTAACACCTATGACATGTACAATTTAATAGTCAGTTGTTTTTACTTTATGACACATATAATATAGCTTGTAGACAGGCATAGATAGTGGCTACGGAGGTGTGCAACTCCTTACGTTATCAAAATCGCTACTGCCGCTTTAGTCCCGCGTCGGAACTCGTATTCAAAAATGACTCGGATTTTCAAAGTATCCATCCTTCACGTCAAAGCTGAATAAAAAAAAAATCAAAGTCGAAAATCGAATGCTGCACATTTTGAAAAGAACCTCAAAGGTATCATGTGAAAAAAGTTTTACACGAAATTTTCACACCATGAAGGTTTTATGTCAATTCAAAGTGTCTATTACAATACAACGTTAATTTCATACCCATAACCCCTATTATGAATGCATAAAAACTAATAAAATGTATGTGTCAGACAGAGCCGTCGCGTCCTGCGCTGATACATTTCAGCCGCTCAGGTCACTCCGCTTTTTGCCCCAACTTTTAAAAAAATCTTCTCAATAACAATATGTTTATGACTAAATTTAGTGTATGCAGTACAAATTATATTATACAATCATATATGTCGGTACTTCAAACAGTATTACGAAATGGTTTTTGTAATGTTTTGATTTAACATTAATCCTTTTCTTGTAGATGGTCTAGAAGCAAAGTACACAGAGAGTGCTTACCACGGTGCTGTAGCAGCACCGGTAGTTCGAAGGAATGACGATATGCCCTTCGACCAGATGCTTCTTGAGATGAAGCGAAAGCTCAACGAACTGAAAAATGATAAAAAACGCGAAGACTGACGACGACTGCAACTTGACCCTTCCGTTCTCATCACTACGCTTCTGATGGCAGTTTCAAAGTGATAACTGTCATAGTAACTTAGCGAATTTTTTTTTGAGTGTGTGTAAGGTGTGAATCCTATTCAGCCTAAGTGACTTGTGATAGTGACAGTTTATAGAAATTAGGCTGTGGATAAAAGTTTGTGTTTAAAGATATAGATGCTGGCATTGTTTGAAGTTTGCTGTAGGTAGATAACTGAAGTCATAGTTTAAGAAGTTTAAGCACGACTATTTGAAAAGCCTATACAAAATTTGTTTATACTGATTAAAGTAAAACACAAGACTATGCAACTCGTAAGTAAAGTGAGTGAGTGAACTGATATTCGAATTTAGAACTTAATATCCATTCGGGACCTCTAAACAATGATGCTACTTACTGAAGCTCGGCCACAACAGGTTAAGATGAAATTATATATGTTACTTTATGTATGGTACTTTATGTATGAACCGAGTGAGATTATATAAATTATGAATTAATCATAAAATGTATTTAGAATAAAATTAATGCGTACAATGCAGTAAATATCTTTAATGTTGTTAAGAAAAAACATTTAGTCTTGTCATTGTCCATTTAAAATTCCAAAAAGATGATAACATCTGATGCGTGAATCTAATGTTTTTATCTACTTTTGTATAAATATGATATGTAGCTAACTAGACAATCGAATTTGCTAAATTATTAAGAAATACAACTGGTATTACCGCGGGTGTGTGCAATGACAGCTGGAAACTTTTGACAGCTGTCAAAGTTACAGTTACCTAGCTGTGCAATCGAAAAGACATTGTTGTGTTTCAAATAAGTTTGATCGTTGCTCAGTTGTTGTGGCATCTTGCACTAGCTAATAAGCAAAAACGTAATTGTAATAACGTTTTTAAATACTGCCATCACGTGCACGGTCGAAATATGAAAATGCAATGTTCAGTGCCTCTGTCAATTATTACATTCTTAATAATTATTGGACTTTTTCTTTTTTTATTCTCCTGGACAAAATATTACAGAGATGAGCAATGTAACATCTACCAAATGGTTCAATTTGCATAGGAATCTATTTCGCATAAAACAAAGTGGCTAAGATAGGTGCCACAACTTTTATTACGTTTGTTTTGTTTTAGTTAAATGTCTAGTTTAGGTTCAATTACCTCAGGATGTAAATATTTGTTTGTTTTGCTTTGTAAATAGTATCATAATAGTTGTTACCTCTTGTTAGAAATGTTAGACATATCTCACGTAATACATAGAAGCCTAAGTTTCATTTGTTTGTGTCTTCTTTCTTACAAACTATACTGTGTTTAAGTTTTACATTTGCTTGTAATAATAACATATATGAATTTTATCTTTATTTGTTTCTCATATTGTAACTACAATTCTCCCAATAACTAACACACTTACACTGATATAATATATATACACGAGTATATATATATATATATATATATATATATATATATAACTACATCCCACAATGGAAAGGCTGAGGTATATTTTGCACACTAAAACATCCCACTTACTTAACTTAGACAAGGCTATTGCTGTTAATCAGGCATTTGGACATAGATGGGCAGGCTATGGTTTGAAAGGATATTACTTATAGGGATGGATTGGGCAATGTGATCATGGGCCGAAAAACTATTACTATTAACTGAAATCACCTGAAGGCCAATTACGAGAATTGGCCTTCTGATAAAACTGAAGGAAACTTATGAAATAAAGTCATTGGTCCTACTAATAGTGATATGATAACTTAATTATTATGGTATAATAATTAAGTTAATTTTGTAATTATTATAAAACAATGTATACATACTGAGAATCATACTTTATCATAAGTTTGTACAACAAATTACATAACCTTGACCATTTTTCTTGAAATGGAACTATTTAAGTTCCAGATAATTCATAATGGTTTTAACTCAGTTTGTACACAGAATACAATTAGACATAAACCATAACAGTAGTTATCATCATCATCACTAACAGCCCTTAATAGTCCACTGCTGGACATAGGCCTTTGCTTAGGAACGAGCTTTTGGCTGGCCAGACAGGTATAGGGTTGTGTCAAGTTTTCTTTCTCTATGCAGTGCTGTTGTCCTACGTAGTTTGCTCCCTTAGTCTGCTCCTAAGACACCCACAGGATGATTAGGGGTGGCGAAACTCCATATTCTTAACCCATCACCGCACGGAGAACTACTACTACTACAGTAATAAGAGGTGACAACCTCACTTCTGTACCATTTTTACAGTCATTATCATTATCCACAGCCTTTCATAGTCCATTGCTGGACCTAAGCCTCTCCTTAGAAAGGAGGTTTTGACTTACTATACCTTGCTGGCCAGACGGGTTGGTGGTTTGTTTTAAGTTTGCCTTCTCCTTTGCAGTGCTGTTGCCTTGCAAAGAGAAGTATAACTTTTTGCTCCCTTATTTTAATTAACTGCTGATACCTAAATGTTATTCATAATCATAAATGTATTACTGAAACTTTTTGATATCTTTTATTGTACTCTGGTATGCTAACTTAAAAAATTGTTCAACTTTCGTGAATAATAGTAACTGTACATTATTTCTTCCAATGAGATTTTAAGTGCCAAATAACCAGTAGTAGTCTGTAATTTTTACATCTTTAAACTATCTTATAACCACAAGAATAAGGCAGGTGATCTTCCACCAGACAACTTCTGCTTCAATCAATCAATTAAGCCTTATCCCGTCTTCACTTTCAGTTTGGTTGTCAGTCCTTCTGGCTGGGCGACTTCATACTCTATTCTTTTGCTTATACTTCGCCTACACTTACTGAATTTTCATATTTGATGTTTAAACTCAATACCATCATTTGAACTACTATTAAAGACAACAAACTTGTAATAAAAGTTTATTAAAACAGTCTATCCTTATAATTATTTCATGAAAAACAATGTTCTATAACACTTTGATAGTTTAGTGTGAATTCTTACAGAATGCTGTACATAGTTCGCAAGTTAGGGATACTTTTATATTACGTTTGTAGTTTTTTTCTACTTCAGAAGCAAAAATGTGTAAAAAAAATTTTTTTTGCCAGTATTGAGGCTTACAATAGAAGTTTGCAAGGAATTGATTTGTGTATCTTTAACATTGAGCTTAGCATGGATAACAATCCATCCCTCTCTAAATGAACTGTGTAATTCTTGTAAACTATATAAATTTCAGTTTTAATGTATGTAGTGTGTATTTGTTGAGTTAGTTGTTCTATACCCCAACTAGTTATAGTATACAACTATGAATATAACACGGCAACCATAAACCAAATAATAACTAGACAAATCTCTATGGAATGCAATGATAAGGGTTTTCGATTTGATATTCGCTTAATAGTTTGTTCAACTCCCAATGCAAAATTAAATTTTTCTCTTCAGTTATGTACTTATAGTAAAATATACAGAAAAACACACTTAATACACTATGTATGTATAAACAAGGGACTTAGTGATTGTAACCTGAATGCCGTTAGTCAAAGTGCACATGCAATGTTTCCCCGTTGTGTTTATAAATGAGCTTCCAGTTTACGATTGGAGCTTGAAGTGTACCCCGTAGAAAAAAATTAATTTCTTTTTATATCTAGTCAGTGTTACTAGACGATATGATTGTTTTATCTTTATGGTGATAATTTATTTAAAACGTAAAGATAAGCGTATTTTAATGATTTTAAGTTTAAAGATTTTATTTCATAGTTTCTATCGGCTAGGTAAAGTACCTACCTATACCATTTGTGGCCCCTAAAACTTAACAAGAATAAAATCACTTTGTTTTTCGTTTGTATTAAAATGTCTACATGTTTTTTTAGTTTCGTTTGTAACTAATTTAATTTGTAGCAACAGTTTTCTATAAAATGTTAATAGTAGAATTTGTTTCATCAACTGTATAAAAATCATTTTTTTTTGTATTACATAAAATTAGTGTTGACAATGCTAACTTGTATGCTGCATTGTCATGCGACATGTACCATTCCCGCCAAATGTTGACAGCTGTCAAAGCCTGTAAAGATAATTTATTGTTTTTTTTTTATTCTAGAGACCAAGGAATGATATGTAAGTAAGGTAAATGAAAAGACTTTAGATAGTACATCATTTTGTACGTATTTAAATTTAATCAACTATATGAGTCATTACGAACAGAATCAATACTCTTAAATTAGATCATGTCTTGTAGCATTTAGATATGGTTAAGATTTTATTAGAACGTGAAATTTGTTTGTATTGCAGTAATGTACATCTTAATTTCTTTTTTGTGACTAATATTGAGAATGGACAGACATTTTGTGTAAACATTTTATTACCACAGCTCAGTAATAAAAATCTTATTTCTCTAGCTTCTAAGATTTACTATTGATTAGTAATGTATTGAATGAAAAAATGACCTTGTATTTTCTCGACGCTATTATGATACCATTAATCAGATAGTTTCGTTTTAATTTAAAATGAAAACCAAAAAATACATTTTAGTAGGTACAATAGCGTCATAGACAATCATGACTTATGGAACCATAGTTGTTACATTCGATATTATGATAGATTATCAAAATTATGAGGATAAAGTTGAATGAGGTTACACCCGTACTTAAAAAATATTTCAAAACATTACATTGTTATTTAACAAGTACCTATTTGTATTTGTAGCTTCGGCTGATGCATATTGTAGCAAGTATGTTAAATATTTTCAAGATATTGATTCCAAATAAAGATAAGGCTTACATTGTATAGATCTTTTCAATTAAAATATCAAAAGAACTTATTTGTATGTAAATTATTTATGGCATTCTCATGTTTTTTTTATGAATGCTCATAAATATTTTTGGATGAGGAGCTGTAAGTTCCAAATTCCTTAGTCCTTGCCAACCAAACCAAATTGAGCTTGTACAGTATACTTTTACTTTCTAAAATTGAGTTTGGATTGAAGCAATACAAAATTTAAATTCAATAGATATATTTT